AAAAAGATAAACAAGATTGATGGACTATTAGCTAGACTCACCAAGAAACAAACAGAGAACCCAAATACACAAAATCAGAAATGAAAGAGGAGAAGTAACAACTGACACCACAGAAATACAAAAGATTGTTAACAACTACTATGAACAATTATATGGCAACAATATTGACAATCTATGTGAAATGGACAAATATCTGGAAACACATAGTCTCCCACACTGAACCGGGAAGAGATAGAAAACTTGAACAGACCAATAACAACTAAGGAAATTGAAGATGTAATCAAGACTCTCCCACCAAACAAAAGCCCAAGCCCGGACAGCTTCATGGGGGAACATTCAAAGAAGAACTAATACCCATTCTCCTCAAACTATTTCAAAAAATTCAAGAAGAAGAAAGACTGCCAAACTTGTTTTATGAGGCCAGCATAATTCTAACTCCAAAAGCAGAAAAAGACACTAAAAGAAAGAAAACTACAGGCCAATATCCCTGATGAACATAGATGCCAAAATCCTGAACAAAATACTAGCAAATCGGATCTAGCAATACATCAAAAAAGTTATTCACCATGACCAAGTAGGATTCATCCCAGGAATGCAAGGCTGGTACAATATTCGCAAATCAATAAATGTGATACACCACATAAACACAATGAAAGATAAAAACCATATGATCATATCAATATATGCTGAAAAGGAATTCAACAAAATCCAGCACCCATTTCTGAAAAAAATGCTCGGTAATGTGGGAATAGAGGGATCATATCTCAATATTATAAAGGCCATATATGAAAGACCTACAGCCAACATCATACTCAATGGAGAGAAACTAAAAACATTTCCCTTAAGAACAGGAACAAGACACGGATGCCCACTTTCACCAGTCTTATTTAACATACTACTGCAAGTCTTAGCCACAGCAATCTGACATGAAGAAAAAAATAAAAGGGATCTAAATTGGAAAGGAGGAAGTGAAACTGTCATTATTTGCAGATGACATGATATTATACATAAAAAACCCTAAAGACTCCATCAAAATCTACTAGACTTAATAAATGAATTTGGCAAAGTAGCATGATACAAAATTAATGTCAAGAAATTGATGGCATTGTTATACATCAATGATGAACTCACAGAAAGAGAAACTAAAAAAAAAATCCCATTTACCATCACAGTAAAAAAATTAAGATACCTAGGAATAAACTTAACCAAAGAAGTAAAGGACCTATTTGCATAAAACTACAGGGCATTGAAAAAAGAAATAGAGGAAGATATAAAAAAGTGAAAGCACATACCTTGTTCATGGATTGGAAGAATTAATATCATTAAAATGTTCATATTACCCAAAGCAATCTATAGAATCAATGCAATCCCCATCAAAATACCAATGACCTATTTCACAGAACTAGAACAAATACTTCAAAAGTTCATATGGAACCCAAAAAGACCCCGAATAGTCACAGCAATCTTGAAAAAGAAAGACAAAGTGGGTGGGATCACAATACCAAATATCAGGTTACATTACAAAGCGACTGTAATCAAAACAGCCTGGTACTGGCACAAGAACAGGCATATAGACCAGTGGAACAGAACAGAGAACCTGGAAATTGACTCAAGACATTATGCTCAATTAATATTTGACAAAGGAGGCAAGCGCATACAATGGAGTAAAGATAGCCTCTTTAATAAATGGTGTTGGGAAAATTGGACAGCTACATGCAAAAAAATGAAACTAGACCATCAATTTACACCATATACAAGAATAAACTCAAAATGGATAAAAGACTTAAATGTGACTCGTAAAGCCATAAAATTTTAAAACAAAATGTAGGCAACAAAATTTTGGACATCACATGCAGCAGAATCTTCACTGATATATCACCTAAAGCAACACTGAAATGTACATAAACTATCTAAAAAACCAAGCTGTCTGATACCATAGCCACTAGCCACACATGACCATTTTAATTAAAATTAAATAAAAATTTAGTTTGTCAGTTGCTCTAGACCTATTTCAAGGGCTCGATAACCACTTCTAGGAACATACCCTAAGAAGCCTGAAACATCAATCAGAAAGAATATATGTACTCCCATGTTCGTGGCAGCACTATTTATAATAGCTAAGATCTGGAAACAGCCCAAGTGTCCATCAGTAGAGGAATGGATAAAAAAGCTGTGGTACACATACACAATGGAGTACTATGCAGCTGTAAGAAAGAAAGATCTCTTATCCTTGAGATGACATGGAGGGACCTAGAGAGTATTATCTTAAGCGAAACAAGCGAAGCAGAGAAAGAGAAGTATCATATGATCTCACTTATTTGTGGAATATAATGAACATAACAGTCTGAGGAACAAGGTAGAGCCAGAGACATGGAAGTAGGGTACAGAGTGACAACCCTCAAAAGAGGGGGAGCGGGGAAAAGAAGAGATAAACACCAGAACTTATATGCATGTACGCATAAGCATCAGACATGGATGACAAAGCTGGGATGGGGTAGGAGGATGGGGACGAGGGTGTCAATGAGGAAAAAAGGAGAAACATCTGTAACAAAGAAAAAATTAACAAAAAAAATCATAAAAAAACATGCAATACAGTATTATTAACTATACTCACCATGCAGCACACTACATCTCAATGGCTTATGTATTTCATAACTGGAAATTTGTACATTTCAACCCCCTTCACCCAGTTTGGTCACCTCCACCCTCACCTCTGACAACCTCATCTGTACTCTGTATCTATGAGCTTGTTATTTTTTGTTGTTGTTTTGTTTGTTTAGTTTTTATATTCCACATATAAATGAAGTCATATGGTACTTGTAAAAAAAACACAAAACATAGGAGAAGAAACAACTCAAGTGTTCCTGGGGGGGACTGACCAGGTTCTGCACAGGACAGACTGACATCTAGACAGGATTCCATCATTTAACCCAAACAAGGCAGCACCTGCTCTCTGGTATTGGACTGAGTCAGACCACGTCAAAGAGAAATTGCAAACTGAGAAAAGCAACACAGGCACAACAACGTATGATACCATTTGTATTAAAACAGAAAGGAAGCTACTGGCTGAAATGTACATAAACTATCTAAAAAACCAAGCTGTCTGATACCATAGCCACTAGCCACACATGACCATTTTAATTAAAATTAAATAAAAATTTAGTTTGTCAGTTGCTCTAGACCTATTTCAAGGGCTCGATAACCACAGGCAGCTAACGGCTGCCGTACTGAACGATGTGCACTTCTTTCATCTCAGAAAGTTCTATTAGCCAGTGCTGCTCTAGGATATTGGCCAGCTGGTAATGGCCCTGGGAAGGCGAGCAGGAGAATGGGGGTGAGGGGTTCACATGTAATCTTTGGTAGTGCTTGAATTTTTTTTATCACATCATATATTATTTCCTACTCAAAATTAACTGTAGGGTCTTCAATATTGTCATCATTTTTTGGTAAAGACCCTACAGTTAATCAGTGGTAGACCAAGGTTTGTACGTGGCTTGAATTTATTCAGGAGCTCCATGCCCCTTGCCTGCCTCCTCCCCACTGTCCATCTGTAATCTGTATTTGGGACTTTCAAATTTCCTGTCAGCAACCCACAGCATGAAATCCAGTTCACTTTGCCATCCAGGCCATGCCTACAAATAGAAATAGCTGAAACAAAAACTTAATAGTTTTTATTCAAATCTTAGTTCAAAATTTCAAAACGCTGCTGTAACCCACAGAACTACTTTCATATCTTATGAATGCATTGAGTGTGCTTCCCAGTTTAAAAAAAAAAATTTATCTACATAACTCACAGGAATTTACATCCATACAACACTCAGAAAGAAAGGGGGAAAAACAGGACTCATTCCCATTTTACACATTTTGCAAATCATCCAAAAATTCATTTGTGAGTTTGCACTTTTTCCCCATTGAATTACAACTTTGGACTTACTGAACAAGTAATGATACCATTACTTGTCATATCCTTTTTCTTCCTATCAAAACCTTGGAGTCCTACTATTGAAAGTGGCTCAAGCTGGATTATAAGATCCTCTCCTGCTGAGCTCCCAGAGATGGAATTTTCATACCAGGAGGTCCACCTTTGCAGACATCCAGGGACTCTCCCAACCTTGAGATGTTGATTCTCTTTGAGTTTGGTTTCTGGACCAGTGAAGGAAATTGGGAAATGCCATATGACTTGGCTAATGGGAGGTGTGACAGTAAGGACGAGGGCCACTGGCTCAACTGCTATGATCCACGTTTTATCACTTTGTCCAACGTGGAGAGAAGTCTGGGAAGTGTTACGACTTTCCACTCATTCACTGGTTTACATACAATCCTATGAGAGGTTAATGCTAACTTTAAAATGTCGGGGCTGAAACTACACACTTAAATTTTCAATCATTGTCTGTGCAAAGCTCCCATGAGGACAACCAGAAGACTTGATATGAATCAGGATTTGAGCCACAGAGGTTAGCAATCAACAGATCCCGGTTCTATCCATAGCCATACTGGTCTACACCACCAAAACCCAAGAGAGATATGATTATTTGAATGATTCAGACCATTTTTCCTGCTATCATCCTCTACCTCCACCAAAAGAAATGAAAAAAAAAAAGAAAAAAATTTGACCAAATTATTTATCACCACCCCCACCCCCAAAGTATGAAATAGAACCCTGAGGGTGGTTCATGCCGGTTTTCCATCTTCAGAATGGGATGGCTGGTACTTTCCTAGTAGCTAAACTTTTATTATAAGTCATCTCTGATGGTTCTCAGCTCCCCATAAATACCACCATCCTCATCAAACTGAAGCAGTTAATCATGCTGTGTGATCTTTGACTAGTGACATGCCTGCCAGGAAAGATGTAGGAAGAAAGGCCCCAGGAGGGCCACAAGGTACAACATACAGCCTAAGAGCCAAGGCAATAATCTTGACCATGTCCTTGGCACTTTTGAGAGAGAGAAAAGCCGGGCCTACAGAAGTCAGGAGCCAGCAAGGATCAAATGTCCACTTACCTGGCGGGCAGACACATTCAGTCGGTGCTTCTCGAACAGTCCGGAGCTTGACTAGTCCCTCCAACTTCTGAACCAGGAAGAAAAGAGGGGAAAAAATGAGATGAGTTTGAGAGCAGAGAGGGGTAAAAAGTATAAAAATCAGCAAAAACCAATGTACCGAAAAGACAGATAAAAAATGATGGGGTTATTTTTTTTTTATACTCTTCTTTTTTTTTTATCCTCACCCGAGGACATTTTTCCATTTTTTGTTCAGGTAGAGTGGGAGGGAGAGAGAGGAACAGAGAGAGAGAGAGAAACATCGATGTGAAAGGAACACATCGAGTGGCTGCCACCCGCACAACCGACCAGGGCCGGGGACAAACTGCAACTGAGGCACGCGCCCTTAGCGGGAACCGAACCCGGGTCTCTCAGGACTGCAGGCCGACGCTCTAACCGCTGAGCCAAACCTGCCAGGGCATGATGGGGTTATTTTTGAGAACATTTTCAATAGGTTATTAAATTTTATAGACAATTTTGGAATGAGAGGAGAAACAAAAACAAACATTGAGCAATTACTGGGGAGTCCATAAAGAGAAGGCCGCAGGTTTCTGCTTTGTTACATTTTCTTTGTTGTTGTTGTAGTTACAACATTTTTGAGCACAAATCAAGGAAAACCAAAATGACCACGTAGTGAGCGTGAAAATGGGAGGGCAGGGCAGGGGAGTCTAGGCAGGGCCCTAGCAGCAGGTTTAAGTACTCAGATCACACCATCTGCCTGGAAATACACATCCCCCAACCCCTCCCAGCCCACCGAGCTCAAACTCACTGCCCAGGTCCAACCCACCATGTAGACACTTTTCCTTTCTTCTTACCTGTCGGGATGCTTGGCCTAGAAAATTTGGTTCTGTACAATTCAACAAGAATCTCTGCAGATGCCCAGCCCTGTGCTAGATTTGGGTGAAGGGAAAAAGAATTACCACAGAAATCAAATCAGAAGCCACAGCTCTACTATTACTGCCTGATTTGACCCTAGGAGTAACCTCCCAGGCCCAAAGTATAGTTCCTGCCTCGTGGAGGGGACACAAGGTGCAAAAACAAGGGAACAAAATTAGTCCCAAATCCCAAGTCTAGGTTTAGGAAAGTGAAGCAACTGGTCCATAACTCCCAAACTAGCCTAGGCTTGAGTCCTGGCAAGAATACGCAAAGTATTAACTTTTCGTTAGAAAAAAATCACCCAAAACCATAAACCTCCCTAAAAGCAAAACGAAGCAAATCCTGAATGTGTTAACCTTAGTGAAAAATGCACTATGATGGGCAGAAGGGGTACTTCAGTTTCAAACATGAAAATGTAATTTTTAAAGCATTACTTTAGAGGAGGTGAGAAGGGCACCCTGGTCTCGAACCCTTGAGGTCAAATCCTGAAATTTTCACAGAAGATGGGTCTCCAGCCAAGTCCTGTATTGTCTCTGGCTAGAACAGCTCAGGACCAGGAGCCCAGATCAAGAAACATAACCAGCTTAGCTCCAGCCGCCTGCAAAACCTCCATCCCTGTCTGCCAGTCACCCTCATTTTCCTGATGGGCGACCAACAACAGATGGAATTAAGGCCAAGTTTTGAGGGAACATGTAGATGTGTGGTCATGACACCATGGTGAAGGGGTGTGAAAACAGTGCTGTGACAGGCAGAGGGTTTAGGGTGCTGCCTTTATATGCACCCAACCTGCCCTGACCATCTTGGCTCAGCGGTTAGAAAGTCGGCCCGTGGACCAAAGAGTCTCAGGTTCAATTTTGGTCAAGGGCATGTACCTCGGTTGTAGTTCAGTCTCCAACCTTGGTCAAGGTCTTGCAGGAGGCAACCAGTTGATATGTCTCTCTTACATTGATGTTTCTCTCTCTCTCTCTCTCCCTCCCTCCCACTCTGAGCATAAATGCAAAAAAAATATATATATATATCCTTGGGTGAGGATTAAATAAATAAATAAATGCTCCCAAACTTTCCATCCTCAGTGCACCTCTCTGATTCACAAGGCCTCCAAAATCTTAATGTGGCCAGGTCTAGACGCTAGGCTCTCAGCCCCAGTTTGGACCCCAACCTGCTCTGAGCTGGAGTCATCCACCAGGCCCAGAGCAACCTGTGAGAACCCAGACCAAATCCCATCCCCCCAAAAAACCCCTACTCCAACTCCCCAAAGCAGCTCCAGGGCTCCCATCAGATGGGTGGGATTAGCTCCACACCTCAAAGCAACACCTGGTGTGTTGGTCCCTGGAGCACCAGAGCCACAAGGGTCCTAACTGAGCCCAATGCAGCAGAAGCTGCTTGTGCATGTGAACAAGAATGGAACCTCCGAACTCACTTTCTCCCCACTGTATCTGCACTATTACTGATTTCAGAACTTACCTGGAAAAAGAATCCAGCCTTCCAGTTTAAGCCAACTTGTTGATGGAAATTTCATGTTTTTATCATTGCTGAACAAACTAGAAGTCACACTAATCTCCCCAACACATACACTTTTACACAAAAGCATTTAATGTTAAAGAACATGTAGATTTTGCCCTCGCTAGTTTTGCTCAGCGGTTAGAGCATCGGCCCGTGGACCAGAGAGGCCCGGGTTCGGTTCCCGCAAGGGCATGTACCTTGGTTGCGGTTTGTCCCCTGCCCCGGTTGGGGTTGTGTGGGTGGCGGCTACTTGATGTATCTCTCTCATGTTGATGTTTCTCTCTCTTTTTCTCCCTCTCTCCCTCCCGCTTTATCGGAAAATAAATGCAAAAATGTCCTCAGGTGAGGATAAAAAATAAATAATAATAAAAAAGAACATGTAGATTTTAACAACTACTGTCACATCTGGGCCAATCCCCTAACGGGGAAGGGAGTTCTATCAAATACTGATAGGAAATGCAATTACTTTTAAGCTTCTCTTATGTTAAAATAAAAAGCTAAATAGGAAACTATTGATGAGAGGGTAAAAACACCTTACTGTTAATGCTAGTAGAGGGATCATAAATTATTGGAATTGAATTTTTGTTCTGTCATTTATTCTAACTCCTTTTATGCATTCACCTTTCTGGATCAGATGGTGAATGTGCAAAATTTTATCTCCTAATTCTTTACCCTCCCCCACTTCTAGGCCCCTAACTTTCTGTGCATCTGTAACTGTCCTCACTAAGAACATAGAGGAAACTGTTTGAATTAGAAACCCAAACCCACAATCTTTATTTCCATGCTTTTTTTTTTTTTTTCATTTTAAGAAAATACTCTTTTGTGTCCAGGTTTGTAAGACATGACTTAAAAGCCTCAACATTTTACATTCAATTATCTGGCAGCACCCCTTGCATCTGCGAACAATATGGTCCTGGATTTATAAATGCAAACAAGTCCTGACACCAAAAGTAAACAAAAGATGAGTTTCTGAGAAAAGATGGAGACTCGAGGAGCATTCCCTCCAGAAGAGTGGAGAAGGAGGAGGAGGAGGACTTGAAGTTTTAGGAGAGGAGTGGCAAGAGCAGAGGGAAAATTAATCAGGGAAAAATCATGATTTTTCAAAACAGCGTTACATGGTAAATGATAAATTTATTAATGAGCTGTTAGAGTGCTAGTCTGGAACATTTCGCCAGATGTTTGATCACATCTTCGAATGGTTACATTTTGATGAAATATGAATTAACACACAAAAAAGGATGTAATGATTTATTTCTCTAAATGCTCCAAATAAAGCCACAAAGACATTCCTATCCTTTGACAGAAAATTCCTACTTTGGGGAATATACTCCTAAGGGACTAAATCAGCAGAAGCATAAAAATGATATTCATGGGTAAGTTGTGCCTCAAAACAGTGAGAGGGACTGTAAGTCTCCTTGATGAATTGTCACATCTTCATGAAATAGCATTATGAAGATTATGTAGCAGCAAGGAAAAATGTTTATGATACAATAAATAAAATGTCTACATCTGTAAAAATTCAGGCAGCAACTAGCAAACATCCACCCACTTGGGTGTTGGAATTATGGTGATTTACTTCTTCAAAAGTTCTTTCTGTGTCATAATACTATCTTTTCAGTAAAAAAAAAAAAGAGAGAGAAAAAGAAAAAAATCTTGAAAGTAGAAGAAGAACCAAGATGAAGCTCTGAAATCTCTCCATTGGGGACGAGTTTTGATTGATGGACAGATGATTCTGCCTACCTAGGAAGACCCAGTTCCAGTGTCAACTCTGCTAACTATGCAGCGCAGACACCAGAGGAAAGGCTTGTGAAGATCAATGAAACCCTCTCTACACAACCACATTTCGATGACCTTCTTCTGCCCCCACAGGAGAGCCCATGCATGCATTCTCATGGCCACAAGCAGCCAAAGAGGGCAGCATTTCCCAGCCTTTTTTAGCATTCTTTTTTCTTATATCCTACCACGGTGATGATGATCATGGTGATAGAGAGGACAGCAGATATTAAGTATTGTTATCACAGTTACTGTTTACTTATGTGCCAGGAACTGTGCCAACAGATTTTATCCCATTTAGTCCTCCCAATAACTCCCACGAGGCTGGAACCATCATTATACACATTTAGAGAGGGCATTGTAAGTGTCAGGGCTGGACTTGCATCCCGGTATCAACTAACTCCAATCACAAAGCAAGACAACCTTTACTTACAAGCAGTTTTCACATCTAAAAAACAGTTGTTGTCAAAAGCTAGGCCACACATCAGAAGATGATTTGACTTTGGGTGATGGACACACAATGCAATATATAGATCATGTATCATAGAAATGTACATTGAAACCCATATAATCTTATTAACCAATGTCACCCTGATAAATTTAATTATATATAAAAAGCTAGGATATACAAAATTATAAGGACAGAAGTCAGATCAGTTGTTGCAAAAGGTTGGGGGAATGTGAGGACGTGTAGGAGATGTGTGGAGGAGATGTGAGGGTTATGAAACTGTTCAGTATGGGGTTAGGAAGGTGGATATGTAACACTATGCATTTTTCAAAAACTATGGGACTGTGTATCACCAAAAATAAACGTTAATGGATAATAATAATAAAAAAACAGTCAATCATGATGTTGGATAATCCCAGGATGGAATGCAG